TTATGTCCATGCATCATTTCCTCTGACAGATACTACGTATATATTTGGTATCAAAATGAGTAGTTCTTGGGATGTGCCTTCTGTAAAATAGCACCTACACACTGTGCATTGTTCGTTGCTTGCTTGTTTATATGCTACTGGATAAACTCCTCCAGAACAGAAACCACACCTAGCTTGTTTACCCATTGTATCCTTAGCATCTAATGCAGCTTATGGTACAATGTTGGTACTTAAAATATGTGTTGGATGGATAACTCACCTCCTCAAGCCATAGACAATATGTTTAATGAAAAACTAAGTATTTTCAAGGCAGGTGAGATAAGATGGTAATTTGATGAGGCACAAGAAGGATTTGTCAAGGAAGGACTTGAAATGATACACCAAGACATGTGGGGGTGGATGGAGAAGGTGATGGCAAACTGGGTAAAAAGAGACAATTATGTGATAAAGGGTCATCATAAAATTACAAAGTCAGTTCAGTGCAGAAGTGAGCAAGTCGAGAGTTTGGAGATTGCGACCAGAATAGGATACTGGAATTTAAGATTTCACAGGTGGTGCTGAAGTTTAGTGGAGGTGAGATGAAGATAATATAACTTTGAGGATAGATATTTATGGACTTGTTTGTATAGATCCTGATACCACCCAGTGATTTTAGGAGAGGGTGTGGAGAGTGTTGTCACTCAGATGCCTATCTTAGGTAAGGTTCATAGATGAAGGTAAAGAGAAGGGATGAAATGGTATGGATCAAAGGCATCAAAGTTTTTCAGGTTTTCCTTTTTACTTAATCAAAGACGGTTCAATAAACACAAATACAGCACAATTACTTCAGATCTCTCTTCATATTGTATACACACATACCAATGAACAGAAATCTGAATGAAACTTGCACTCAGCAGTGAAATGCAATCAGCTTTTTCTTCTCTTGCTCAAAAAAAAAAATTAAAAAACACACAGACTTAGAATCTCATCAACACACACTCTCCTGTGACAAATGATTCAGGCAAAAATGGTGAGTACAAAGAAACTCTATACTGACATATGTATAACCTCTATTAATGGAAAAACAGAAGCATCCATAATGATTAAGATACATTCAGTTACTGATAAGCTAGCTGTACACAAAAGGGCATTATCAAAAAAGAAATCGTCCTGCAGAGAGAAACTATGTATACGTACACAATGAGAAAATAAATTGCAAGGTTAACACATGCATGTTTAATTCTGGAAAAAATCATAGCCCTCCAAAATTTCTCTATGTTTGTTATAAAAGGCCTCTGCCCTCAATTAAAATTAGAATGACCTTAAGAGGATAAAGTTTAAGTCTTTTCAGCCACAGAAACTGCAATGGAAATAAATATTCAGAGTCATTTTCAAAACAAAACCAAAAGTCTATACTTCGGATGACATGCATGACTTAAAAGTCTATGCAAATTGCATTGCTCTTCATTACCAATGACCTGGAAAAAATAAAACCTCTCATGTCAATTTTTAGTTTGCAGATGGTCAAAGAATTTTGTATTCCAGCAAGAGTTAAAATCTTCTGAATCTTTTCACCAACAACTTCTGGATTTTCTTTTCTGATTTTCTCAACAGCATCAGCTTTGTAATCATTAGAGCAACTGTATACATCTGAGTAACAATGTATACCAGCATTCCTCCTGTTGTCTTCCTGCACTTGAAACAGTGGTTCTCTTTTTGTTTTGGTTTTTCAAGAGATTTGCTTTACTCTTCAGATGGCTGCTGTATTGTATCTGATCCTAAAGATGGAAGATAACATTCAAGAGGAACAAGGCCTTCTGCTGGGGGTCCTTGAAGATCTCCTGTTTCTGGTACTGCTTTGACCACAGATATACTGTCCACTTGGGAAGATGCTACAGATTCTGATGAAAGTGACTGATTTGATACAGGGCTTGGCTGCATAGATGAAGATGTAGAGTCTAATGCTGACTGAGTTCTAAGACACTGCCATTTGTGCACTGAACTGGTAAAGGTTCATACAAACTACTGACAAAAATTGCAGCTGGGCTTATTCTACCATTACTACTATTCTGTCATTGAAGTTGTTCTTTCTAGCATACCAAACATGTGCCATTTGTACAAGGGTGTCCATAAAATCTGCAGCCAGTGGAACAAAGCATAGGCACTTAGCCGTGCTTAGTTTCTTGAGACATGTTCCTCTGTGCACACACAGTTGAGGTTGATGAGAAATAGCTGTCCTGATCTTACGACCGACATTAGCTTCCTGTCTTCCCTGTCCTCATAAGCAGCTACTTAAAGTTTGAGTTTTATATAAGAAAACATTTTAAAACCTTTAGTATTTTACTGCAGCAGACTTCAGATTCTTCCCTGGAGTGACTCTCTTTGCCTGATATACTGCCTGCTGCTTCTGGTAGCCACTGGTAAATCAAAGGCACCAATTGTTAAGAAAAAAAGAGATCATGGGAATGGTGGCCTAGTTTGGAAACTACAAAGGGAAGCTTGGAAAATACTTCTCTTCATCCTCTCTGGCACTTGGTGCTTGTGTGTTGGGTGAAGGAGCAGCCTCTTCTCAAGGGAAGGGGGTCTTCTAATAAGAGTCAAGCAGGCAGAGAGGGCATGCAGAGGGGAAGAGGGGTAAAGCCATAGTTCCAGAGGAGAAAGCCTGGGTAGGGTATAGATTTTTATTTTAAAATCCTATTGTTTGAACAAATACAATGCTTAGGATAGATGTTTAGGATAGATTCCCCAGATTTACTCACTCACTCAACTGATCTATGAAAAACTAAAAATAGCATTATGGTTCTTGTGGGCCAATGATGGCATAAGACAAAATTTTGGCTTATTTTATCATGTATCACAATGTAGATCCATTTTTCGATAAGCTGTCCGATAACCTGGAGTATGTAAGAATGTTTCCTCTTTGCTGTTCTTTACTTTCTATCTTATCTGCATGTGGACATTTACCCTTTTTCTCCCCTGAAGTCACATCACACCCTATGCAGCTCCCCTCTCATGGTACACTCCTCTGAGTTCACCCAAATGGGAAATTAAAATTTCAATGACTTGTTAGAAATTTTCCAGGATAAACCTATGGTAGCCATGCTCTACAGAGCTGATTTGAGATCTCAGGCTTATTTGTCCACAGAGAAAGTCAAATGATCCTCTTGCCTGGAATGGTCTTATTCCTTTAATGAATAAATTCCCATCTGACCCCTTGCCCATGTGGTTGGCAAGACATCTGGATGTGCTCTCAAGGAACAATGCTCACTTCTTGGACATCAGTGTTTTCCAGTTCTTGGAACTCTGCACTGTTCAGTTATTAGAACAAACTTGCATGTAAGAAACTCTAGTCATAGAGAACTGCCCTTGGGGAATGTAATCCATTCACTCCAAATTTTATCTTTGGGGAAAGCTCAAGAGCTAGTTGCATTGGTTGGGGCCCTGTGTAATTGCCTTTCCCAAGCAATGCAGAAATATTCCTCCATTGGCTTACAGTGAAGGATGCTGTGATTAGTGCTATATTAAACTTCCTGTTGTGGTTATTGTATCGATGTTGCTGATACTGCAGCACTTATCAGCACAGTCCTCTAATTTATTGAGGATCCATGGATAAAATTTCTCTGGAGTCTCAGGACTAGTTAAAGTCTCGCTACTCCTGAGCCTCTGGTTTGCTTTGAACTGCAGATTCTATTAATCTTGTATTCATGTATCCTTTGTCTTGCTTACTTGCAAGCTCAAAATGACATGTTGACATGATAATTGCAACTTAACAGAATATGATATTATGCTTTGGATATGCTGATCCTTGCTTTAACTTTTATTACATATGTACTTCATCCCACCTTTAAATTTTTTTATTGTTTTGTTGTGTGTATCTCTAAATGGCCTCAAATCCTGTTTTGAAATAAAGAAGGTCTTTAACAAGGAAGTAAATTTTGGGTCTATGTAGAAATAATAGCCTAGATATTTTGTCTTTGATCATAAAGACAGCCATTACATCTTGAACTCAGTATGCTAATGGACTGAGAAACTGAAACACTTTCACAGCAATACCAACCCTTGGAGTCACTGGGGACTGCCACAGGACTGGGTCTATATTTGTATCCCTTTTTCCTTTTGTTCTCCTTCCCCTTTTGCCTGTTATGCTTCTAGCTTCTCCCACTGTTTTTCAGCCTTTCATGGGGTCCTCAAAACCCCACTGCGCAAGCAAAATTCTGATAATGTCTACATCCTGATTTCATGATGAAAAAGGCCAACTCTTACTTATTTTTGTATCCTCAGGATCTAGCACAGACCTGAAATGCAGTTATCAGCTGACGAACATTTATTTGTTGAATGAATTGAGTTACATTAAGCAAGTTAATATATGTAAGTCATTAATAGAGCAACTGACACAAAGTGCAAAATGAATGTTTATTTCTCAATCACAACCTTCACACCTGGCCTGAAGCTCTCTTTCCTACTTTATTCCTCATCACCCATCACTGATTCTCATAATTTCATGCACATAACATACATTTCTGTGCTTTTAGATCCTTCAGCATACTGTTTCTTTCTACAAAGTAATCCCTTCCTTAAATACATCATCCTTGCTCAGATTTAGAGAGAAGACATAGTCCTGATGATGTTGGCCCGAGCTTCTAAGTAACAAAGTCAGGCCATTCATACTTGAAACATTTGGCTTTGGATTTCTGGTATCCTTCAAAAGAAAACAAACAACTTTTAGCAACAATATTTGGTTAGCTGGAATTGCATGTCCTTTTCAGCTGGCAAAGCTCTTTAAAATGAATTAAAACGTACTCCCACTTATTGATGCCAGTGCCACTTCTTTCTAGTATTTAAAAATCAGTATTAAAAGAGTAAGCAATGATTAAGTTTTTAAGTGATCTGAGTGATGGGTACATACATACCCAGTTGTTTAGCTTGTATTTTATTATAGTGCACCTACAGAAAATCTGAAATACATTTTAGAAAGTTCAATAATCAAAAATGGATGATTTATGTTTATTTCTCATGAAAACTCAATGCAAGCCTAGTGACACTTGCATTTCCCCTATCCACTTCCACACAATTTTCAAAACTTGAATGCCAGGAATGGTGCTGTTGATATAAACATCAGGGCAAAGTGGCGGAGTGCTAGTAGAACTAGGTGTCTCTGGAGGAGGAATAAACAGAGATACTTGTGCAATGTTGGATATTTCTGATTCCAGATTGGTCTTATCAACAGCCTGAATAGCAATGAAGAGATCCGTCCCATTTTCAAAAATAATGCCTTCTGGTTTAAACACAAAGACTTCCTCAGAGTTGGCCTCCTTCGGGATGAGATCAGTAGTATTCACTTGAACTGATTCATTGAACTTGTCTCTGAGATCAAGAATGCGTGTACTTATTCGAATGATATACTTGTAAGCTAAAAAGAAAAAGGGGGAAAGGATATGAATTGGAATTCAAATCTGAAGCTTTGAAAGTCTACTAGAAATTCTGTTACCATCCCATAAAGTTCCAATGAATAAATGGAATCAGTGGTACAGACTTACAAAGGTTAATAGATACTTTGTGTTCTTGTTTGTGTATCCTGACAAAGCAATAAATGTAAAATTCGATTGGTCATGACTTAAAGCCTCGGTCAGTATTTCTGGGCAGAGGACGGCTTGGCTGACCAGAGGCTGTTTAGTTACTGCCAATTTTTTGACAGTGTTGTCATGCTAATGCTTCTCAAACATTAATGTTGAGAAGAATAGAAAACACAGCTCGTGTTTGTTAGCTCTGCAGTGAGGCCTGAAGTTCTGTGTTTCTAATAAGCATTCTTGCAATGTACATTCTGCAGTCTACAGATCACACTTCCAAAAGGCAAAGTCTGGCAGGATCTGTGATTTCTTCCAAAGATGTTTGTACTCTAATTCCAGTCTTTCTCCAGGAATCACTAATGAAAACAATATTTCTTAAGAGACCTTTTGGCAAGATCATTTCAAAAAAAAAAAAAAACTGCTGAAACCTCTTTCTCTTCAGGTAGACCAGCTTTTCAAATTTTAAACTTCTTTTATTTAAAAATCTTTACCTTTCATTTCAGAGGACATTCAAAATCCCCCTGCTTTCTGCCCTTGGGGGCATGTCAGTATACCTGCCTGCCTCATCTCCTTCTGCACCTCTGCTTGACAGGGGCCACTCTCTGTTCAGCTTACCTTGCCCTTGATCATAATCGTCCCCAGGAGCTGTCCAAGTCAGATTAATGAGATTGTCCCCTTGGATTCTTGCCTTCAGGTCAGTGATTTGACAAGGTGGAAAGAGGTCAAGGATGGGAGTGTTTGGGACATTGGAGGCCACAAACGAACCTCCCGAAGATGTTCTGCTGAAACACACTTGCTTGTGTTGAAGAGTATTATTAATTTCAGAGCGTGGTGGATTCCATTTGATTTCACCTGTATTAAAAATTACTCAAAATATGGTAAGCAACATCACAAAATGGCTATACTCCCCCTGTTTTTTATTGGATCACCCTCTTCCTACTCTACTTTTTCCTCCCACATTTCAGATGTTCTGTGACAAGACCCCAAATCAGGTTGCACCAGAGTTGTCTATTTCATGGACATGACTTTCCTACCTGGTTACCTGTGAACTCAGTGTGCTGGCTGATAGGTTTGTCTACTATTCTCCTGTCTGAGCAGGAGGGAAGAGGACGAAAGGAAGACAGTGGGTTTACAATAATGATATTGATATAAATAACAAGTCCTAAGTAGTTATTTTTATTTCACTTTGTGGAAATGATAGTATCAGTGGAAAGAGCTTTATTACAAAATGTTTTAAAATTTACTGAAAAAATAACAAATCACATATCGAATACTCACCATTTGCCAGTAACAGCTTATTAAGTGTATTTCCTTGTTTATTTTTCATTACTAATCTGTGAGGCCATTACCTTTATTATCCCTGTTTTTCAATGGAAGAAAATGAAGTACAAGGAGATTTTATATTTTATTTGTTAGAGATGGAATTTGAACCAAGGCAGTCCAAAGCTATGCTCTATCCACTGGTTTCAAGCAGAGGCTGTTTAGTTCATTTATAAGACAACAGACAATGCCTGGGAACATTTTGATTATCATAACTAGGGGGCTGCTACTGCCATCTAGTGAGTGGAGGTCAGGGCTGCTGCTAAGCCTCCTATGATGGATGCATAAGACAGTGCCCAACAACAAATGATTTATCTGACCCAAAATGTCAGTAGGGGCAAGGTTGAGAAATCATGAATTAATCCTGCACTATTCTGCCTCACAGGCTTAATGGCTTCCTCTTGACCCCAAGCCTTCTACTCAAGCCAGGTTTGTTGCTCCAGATTGCTTACCATTCTCAATCCAGCCAGGCATATACATGGCTCCATTTTGCTGTGGTATTGCTCTCTGTGTGTCTGAATGAGCTCCTCCCAGAGCCCATATTTTTACACTGTATCTACCATTTGTATCGTAAGCTGTAAAATATCTTGAATAGACACCATCATTCTTGGTAGCATCAGCACCTTGACAAAGAAATGAAGGAATTAATGAATATCCTAAAAGAACTGGGCATTTTTATCATTCCAATCTGTGTGTGAGTTAAACTTTTCAAAGCAAAGAGAAATTCAGCATTATCTCCAGAGACTTTGAGGTTTGATTATGTGAAGGATGAGGCCCTACTTCTTTTAACAGTGTATGTGTGCATGTTGGAGATAGTTTTATGTGTGTACATTTTTTCTTCCTGAAATGGTCTTTCTTTTTGAAATCAGAGATCATGTTATGTGTTTCTGTTATAACCAACATAGGTAACTATCCAGTAAATTACCTGTTGAAACAAATTGAATAGCTCTATATATGTGACTGGAGAAGAAAGTGTCACATACTTATTTAATAAAATTCATGACTTCTCCCCCAGGTAGATTTAGGTAGTAAATTCATTCATAGAACTTCTTCCAATAAGGATGCTTGCATCACATTAAGCAGACATGTTCCTTCTGAAAAGAAATGCAGAATTCTCTTTCCCTCTGATAGATTTCTTAGATACAAGAATAATTGGCAGAATGTCCACTTTAGGAGCACGCTAACATAAAGTCAACATAGGTATAGGAATCATATAGAACTGTGATGAAATACACCTCTGCCACTTTTAAAATGTGACAGCCTCTGTATCTTCACCCATAATGTCTCTGTATCTTCACCCATAATGTTGGAATAATATTTTGAAAAGTGTGCAGTGAAAATAAAATGAAGATATGTATGTCTTTGTATATATGTCTTTATATGCATATATATGTTTGTGTTTACACACATATACATATGACGGGGTGGAGGGAGAGAACTTAACATAAAAGAGCTATTAATTTACAATCACTTAGTTTGGAGGTCTGACAACTCTTTGGAGTCTCCGAGCCTCTGGAGCTCAAGCCACTCATGCATTTTGCCTTTGCAGAAGCTAAAGGTAGGGCCTTCTTCATGTTTTCCAACATTTTGGAATGGAGGAATTAAGTGGAAGCAGAGAACTCATTCAACCAGACCCCCTCAGTGCCATTCTCACTGCTTTAACTGTCCTCACAAGACCATGCTTTCCTGCCATTCCCTAGTTGCTTCTTGGAAAAAGAAAGAAGTATTTTGCAATATCTTTGATGGTTACCTGCTCCATTGTCCAGTAATTCCAAGGTAACTGTTTTTCCGTTCACTGATTCAATCAAGGCTGTGACAGTGGCCCTGAGAATTGGAAAGACTCCTTGACGAATATTTGCATAAATTATCATAGGGCTGGGGTATTTGCCTGTGTCCTTGTTCATCCTGGAGGTCACTGTGATTGGAGCCAGATTAGCACTGGATGCACGGGAGGTGACAGTTAGAGTCAGGGTTTGTGAGCTTGCTTGCAGACTGTATTTCCAAAGGCCAACCTGATCAAAATAGATATGGACATTTCCAATGAGTAACTGTGGGTGACAAAGACCTGACTTCAACATCACTTATAAGAAAAGCCTATCTGATACAAGCACGCTACAAACTTATCTAGAAGATGCATCTTTGATACTTTGTCAGTCATGGCAACCGTCAATGTGTTTCAACTAACTGGTTCCCATTGTCAAGAAAATCCTAGTCAGGAAAAATGAGGTCCAAAAGCTGTGTCATTTATCATTGCATGAGTTTTTCAAGAGATAGGCTTTTCAGTTAAAGGAAATAATCTCTCTTTATTTTCTGGACAAAATATCACCAATTTTCTTTCTCTTGACTTGCTTGCAAACTGAATAATTTTTCAAAAGATGAACATTTTTTCATTGTACTCTTCTTGACTCAGTACTGACTCTCCTTTTAGTAAACACTGCCGTTTAAAAAGCTACAATTGCTCTCTAAAAATTTTATTTTGTTAAATTATAAGAAGAAGAAGAAGAAGAAGAAAAAAAAAACTCCATACTGTAGCAATGCCTGGGATTTGAAGGTAGGCCATTTTGGTGTTTGTGTCCACTACAAAGCCATCTTGTTTCTTCCCACTGGGATCCCAAAGAAGGATTTGGGGAGGCTGTGTTGTCCAGGTGACAAGAAATAAGGTTTCCTTTCCCACGGTGCTGTCCACAATCACTGTGCCATTCATCCACTGACTGTTCTTTAGGGTTGCTCCCTTACTCTCCAGCTGTTAAGAAAAACAACTCTTTACTTTCTGGAAAATACAACTCACATCTCATGGTCTTTCTACTCTGCCCCAACTTCCAAGTATCCATAGAAAGCCTTCAGTGATGCTGAGTCCTGGGTTTGGTGTTTAGGACTATTATGGTTCACATCTAATTTCCTTTCTAGCCTTATTTTCCATAATATTCCTTCATCTACTCAAACCAAGCCACTTCCCAAAAGAATCCTTATGAATCTCTGATTTTATCATACTCTGGTTTTCTTAGAAGTGTTTACACTCCTTTTCATTTGTCTAAGCCTTACTCATCATTCAGAATTCAGTTCAAACATCACTTTCTCCATGAAGCTTTCTCTGATGTTCATCTCATTTATTTGATGTAAATCTTCTCTCCTTTCTGTGTGCTTTCCCATAGGGTTTTATTTCTGTCAGTCCTTTAATATTCATCACATTGTTGTTTACTCATAGTTACTAGTGTGCATAGCTCTGGTGTTTTACAGGACTATAAACCCTTATCCACATATAAATTGTATGAAATACAGATAACTCATTGCAAGTGTTACTATCATGGCAGTTCCTATGAAGATAAATGAAATAAATCAATAACCCAGAGTACTGTAGAGTCCCTGCAGAGCAGGGATTGTAGTGGGGAAGGATTAACTGACTTCTGTAGGAAATGTGATTTTGAGAACTGTCTCCTAGATAGTTACCGATTATCCCTAAATTGATACCTGTTTGAATGAACCTGGGCATGCAGCCAGGTTTTCTACTTTCACAGATTGATTAGGAATGATCCTGGATGTGATGCTGAAGACCTGATTTTTGTGGAAGGTTGGTAAATAAGTCCTTCTTAATTCTCATTTCTCCATCTCTCTTTCCCTGTTAGGTTCTTAAATACAAAAGTAATTCATAGACACTGCCTATACTTTCATCAATTTAACTACTTTTCTAGAATATTCTCCTTTCTTTCCAAAACCAGGCCTTTGAGTTTAATTTTCTAAATCTGATCTAAGATCACCCAGATAGGTAGAACTGCTATCTTCTTAAATTGAATAAATTCCACATGACTCAACCTAAAAGCCTATTGTTTTGAAATCTGTCTTTTCGGCTTTGTCATTCCAGGATTCCTCTGTCTTTATGCAAACTTTCATAATAAAAGTCACATATTCACACAGGTGTTAGTGTTGATTGTTTACTCTCTCTAGTTTAAAATATCACATGTGAGTAATTTCTGCACCTACTATAAAAGCATTTGAAAATACATTTGTCCTTTCAAAAAATAGTTCCAAGGCTTTGAAAGATAAGTTGGTTTTCTTGAATTTTAGAATGAGATGGCCCATGAAGGTTTTCTGGTTCATATGCAGAGGGGAAAAGTTTTGGGCCTATGGTTAATTAATGGCAGATCCAAGACTGAGAACTGGGTATTTGGATGGTGTCATGGGTTTTGCACAGTGCAAAGTGCTTTCCATCCATTATATAAAAATTCTGGCAAGTAGTAGGGATTTGAGGCAATGGAAAAACAGAGTAAATAATCTCTAAACACTTGTCCCACAAAATTTGTAATTGAGATGATCTATTCTGAAGAAGATTCTGAGCTAATTACATGTGATGGGTGCTTCTCAGCAAAACAGAAAATTCGTTGTTTCTAGTTTCTATGAAGGAGTCCCTTAGTTTGTTTCCAGACTAGCACACTAATTGCCTTGTTTAGATGAGTAGTGTTGCATTGCAACTGATATTGGACTCAACCTTCTATTGTAATTCAGTACTACAGGAATGTGGAACTGAAGTGTTTAACCATTAAAGCTTCCATCTTGGCTATGATTGTGCATAAACATGAAAAACAGAAAGTATGAACTCCAACCTGGATGGACCGCTGAGATACAGCTCCGTTTCCTGATGAAAGGGCCGCAAAAGCATCAATAAGGCCATTGTTCTGAGCCTCATCTGAAGCGTACATCTGTAAACCTCCTAAAATGCAATGCCATTATCCAAGTTATTTTCCAGGAAGCAAGTATTTGCAACATTGTAGCTGCCTTTAAGATAACAGCACACATAATATCAAATATTCCACTTTGTAGAGTAAAATAGATCCACATTAAGTCTATGCTCACATTAACTCAGAATTAATACTGATTTTTAAGTCTATAAATAATTGCCTCACTAACATCTTTGTCATGTGGCTACTTCAACTATCTACAGATCAGCCATAAATGTCTGAGGGGCAAAAATGAATATCATAAAATCTGCAGTTTAAAGGTCATGTACTTTCTACATGAGAGAATCCATTGAGCCTATTCTAACCTGATAGATTTACCCTTATTTGATATATAATTCTAACAAACTTGGCTTTAGAGATATATTTTAAATCAGTAAAGATGTATATGTGGCAACAGCAAGAAATAATAGTGAACAAAGGGACAGTAACAGAAAAGTAAAACATAACAAAAATAAGATTATACACCAGGCCTGGCAGTGTTGGGGTCTTTAGAATAACTACGATAGTTGGTGTGAAATCACTTTTAAACTATTAAATGCCATCCAAAGTTAAGGAAAGTATTTTTGTAATGTCATTGATGTCATTATCCACCCCTTATCCAGGTGTGTGCGTCTCTTCCTCCTGCTCTAAGTGCCTGCTCCTAATGGTTTCTGGATGCCTCTTTTTCCAGAGAATTATTATCAACAAAGACCATCCTACCTAGAAAAATTACACATCCCTCACTTATGTCCTGCCCTGACAGTTCACAGCCATTGACTGACAGACACAGCAATACAAAAGGCATCCCTCTTGCTTCAAGTGTGGCCAAGTCTGTGATGCAGTTCTGGTCCAAAGCCTCCTGGGTGGGGAGTCTTCTGAACTCTAAGTCTACATCTGTGCTTAGCAACTTCCTCTACTCTTGTCCATCCCCCCCCTCATTTTCTCCTGAGAGCCTTCCTTATAAATAACATGCCCCCAGATCCCTGTCTCAGGTTCTGCCTCTGGGACACCAAGTGTAGGAGACGTTAGTGTCAGGCTCAAACAGTCCTGTCAGTGTAATCGTTTTTGTCTCTAATATTATCCTAGGTTAAAAAAGAAGGAAAATGTGCTCAGCTACTTTTCTAAAGAAGCCAGGGGCATTTAGGATCTATTTGAACCGTCTGTGTGTATATGGGACTTAGACGCCTAATACATTGTGTGTTGCATTGTTAGAGTGACCTTCTGCATTGTTCACCAGGCTTTTTATCCTTTCCCTGTGACTCCTTCCCCTCCTCTTGGACTCTTCTTCCTTAGGTAAAGTCAGATGTTTCCCTTCTTTTGTGCCCATCATACTTCCTATTACAAATGGAGCACTTGTACTATGGTAGTATGTATTTAGTGGCTTGTCACTTGTCACCTGCCTCTCCAGGGCTGTCTCTGAGTCAGCTGCCAACTGCAAGTAAGTGTCTCCTGGTTAACCTATTAGATTCCTCCTAGTCCTCATAAGACACCTGGGAAGAGCACCCCATGTCCTCACTAGGGTGCTTTGCTAGTCCTATCTTCTCCAGACTGTCGTAATCATACAACCAAAGCTTTAAAATAACTGGGTAGAGTCAGTGTTAACAGCCACTTAGGGGAAAGGGAGCTAGTTGGTGGAGATGACCCCATCTCTTCCCATCTCCCCTTCCCCTGCTCTCTGGTTCAGTGGAGCTCGATGTAGTGAGAGAGACAATGATCCCTTACCAGTCATTTTGGACAGCTCTTCTAATTCTTTAGCTGCAGAGGGCCCCAGGGCAACTGTGTGGATGATGGCTCCGCTCTGCTTCACCTCGTTAGTGCACCCACTTATAGTGTTGTCCTCCCCATCTGTCAGCAGCACAATTTCAGACCCATCTGTTGTGTATTTCTTCTTAATCACCTAAGGATAAAGTGCAGGGCATAAGTTAGCAGACTTGGGGTGACCAAGGTGTTTGTGTCAATTGCACTTATAAGGGGCAAAGGAGAAATTCCAGAGGAAACAAACAAAGGTGTCTGGGAGTGTTCAGGAGGTATCTGACCATTTTGCAGCGATACAATTTTAGAACAACAACACTACAGAGCTTCACAGATGTCCTTTCTCTTTGCTAGCCTGATACTGGTCCTGTTGGGCAGTACTGGGGACTAACAAATGTTTGTCTACTTTTCTTCACCTGATCTCTCCTTGACAGGCCTCCAGATGCCTTCGGAAAACATCCTCTTAATGGGGTTATTTGGGTGAGATATAGGATCCAGGGGAGATTTTAGCTTGTTTGATACTTACCAGTCTGACACTATCAGCTGTTAATGCCAGGCATTAGTTATGACTAGTCATTAACCATATCTTAGGAACAGATAAAAATTTTCATATCCCTTTTGATTAAAGCAAAACATTTTGTTCCTATTAATCCCCAATTCCTAGTCATCCAAAGAGATCCAGGATGGGACTGAGTCAGTTGGGGAAAACCACTGCCCAGAGAACAAAGCAAAGTCCTGTTATTACACAAACACCACTGCAAGAAGCCCAGGACAGACCTGACCAAGCTCCTGCAACAGGAACCAGCAGGGATCTGAACAGTGGAGGATCCAAGGAGCCTTTGCCTCATTACCCTGAGGTCACACAGGCTCCTCCACCCCACACTCCACTGCAGAAGAGGAACATTCTAAATTTCAGTTGTGCCCTCACTGTTTCACCCATCTAAATGGAAAATGCAGACCCAGAAATTCCCTGGACACCACCATGCCACCTGGCATGAATCATTGCCCCTGGGATTTTGCTTAGCAGGCTTCGGTACAGTGCATCAGTGATTTCACCATCAACCTTCATCCCTCATTTACGTCTTTAACCAAAGTGTGGGTGGTGGCAGAGGCAACAGAACTCAGGTGCCTGGTCTGGAGACTGGATATGCAATAGAAAGTACTTTTAGAGCACTGACCTTCAAGATGGAATAAAAGTGATAGAGGGACAGACAATATTAAGGGAATGGTTGGGGACCATCAAACTACATGAGCTGAAAACTACATGTTTCTGCTGCCACTTGGTTTTTTTGGGGGGAGCAGGATACTGGGGTTTAAACTCAGAGCTTGATATTCACACTTGCTAGGCAGAAGCTGTACCACTTGAGCCACTCCACCAGCCCTCTGCAGCCGCATGAAAAGCTAGAACAGCCCCAAGACGCATTAGTGTGTTCTATGCCCAACCAGCAAGGTAGAGGGCAGAACTGCCTAAGACTTTGCAAGGTTCTGAGACCTTAGGCCAGCATGTGTCATTCAGCCTCCTGTTCTTTGTTTTGTGAGGTTAAATAGCCTCTAAATAAACCCAGAATATTTGAAGCAATTAAGTACCAGGTATTATTAATGCATCAAATAACTCAATTTATGTTTGTGGGGTTTTTTTTGTTTGTTTGTTTTTTGCTTTTTAGTGAAAGTGGTAGTAAAGTTTATTAGGAAAGGAGTACACTTTCAATAGTCTGAAAGCATGTTGTCTTTGGGGTGAGAATGAGAATGACCTCAATTTAATTTTATTTACTAAGGACTTCCTGTATAAAGGACATTGTGTCAGCAGCCTGGGAGGTAAAAAGATAAGTCTCATCCTTAAGGTTTTACTTCATTTAAACACATGATAGACTATAAGAAGACCCTAGAAATCTTAAGAGATTTTTTAAAAAGAGAGGATTCAGAAAGACAACTTTCTATACAGTTGAAAGGATCAGGAAAGATCTCAAGAAGTAGATGGTGTCTGTGATGGGTGTTTGAAGAGTGAATGTGATTTGAGATTCAAAGAATGGAGGAAAAAGTACTCCAGGTGAGGAGCTAGCCTGACACAAATGTGGATGCTCTGAAGGACAGGTGATTCATTTTGCTTAAACACAGGATACCTGGAAGAGAGTCCCTGGAAAGGTAGGTAGGTGCTTTATCAAGAAAGAGCTCAAACATTAGATAGAGGAATTTCTACTTAATTTTGTTGAAAATGAGGGGACGTGGATATCTAAGTGAAGGATGATGTGTTTAGATGGTCAAATGAGATCTTTAGATATGACTGCAACACAATCATAGTTACAGTTCCTAAGGCCTCTGCTTCTTTCCCAAAAAGAGATGTGTGCCCAGAAATTTGGAGTGTTCACCTGCCTCAGAGTTGCACCATATTTGAAGGTCTTTTTTTCTCATGGAAGATACTCTTTAATATGCATGTGTGCCTATATTCTAATGAATCCCCTTTGTACAATACGTGGTCATAAAAATGATAATAAACAAAAAAGAGAGCCCTTTAGTTTCTTGCTTACCTTTCTCTCATGGCACTAATTACAATCTGGGGGTGTGCATCCCCCCAATACGATTATACTCTCTGTGACAGATGTGGTACCTGTTTGACCTTCCTGGTATTCTTAGTGCTTGGCACACCACAAACACTTTGAGTGCAGGCTTGCATGTGAAAAGCATGAATGCATGGATACAGAAAAGTACGAAGGCATGAATAAACGAATGAATGAATGAGCGAGTGAATAGCTCAAGAGGCCTATGTCTTTGCATCATTTGAACCATTGCTAATTCAATTAGGTACTAGGCATGTTTGTTAAAATAGGAGATGAAAATTTCATAAGAAAAGAGTCTTAAACACTGGTAAACTACAACAGGGAAGCACATCTTACAGTAAATGCCGATCGAAGCCCAGAGCAGATGGATGTCCCTCCTGTGGAAACGGTGGGTAAGCTTTTGGTGAGTGCATCCCTGTCGGCTCCACTGTTTATCTGTATGAGTTCACTTCGTACATAGGCAGTGCTGTCAAACATCACCATCCCAACCCAGGACCCTTCCTCCACTGTCTGCAGCAGGAAAAGCTTGCCGGCTTGATTCATTCGGTTAAGGCGGTTATCACTCTGAATGGACAAATAGGAGAAAAGAAGTCAGGTTGGGTTTGAATGAGCAAATTAATAACAACATAGGCTAGAGGGCATTTGGGAGTGGCTGCCTCAATGTAGAGTAAATAACAAACAGCTTAGTTGAGGCATATCGTCTATGGGGGAATTTTACATACATATTTGGAGCATCTTTAAGTAGACTGCTTGGTCCCTTGCATAAATAGGAAAAGGTAAAGCTATATTACACAATCATTGAAGTATAATGTTTGCACTAGTGATAGTTCTCAATAAGTCATATATATGACTATAGACTTATATTTTGTTAGCAAGATGTAAAAATTGTTAAGCTTATGTAATTCATCAGATCTTTGCTCATCAATTGAAACCAGTTTAATTTGGTAAATGAGACAGTTGATACTGAATCTGTGGAATGCAGGTGAGGTGAGCATTCTCGTGGCAACGCTGTTGCAATTGTTCTGGCCCTTGTGTTATATTTATTCCCAGGTAGTTCCAAGTTGTGGTCCAGAGCGTATCGTACACATAGGTATGATCAGCGTCTGGAAGACCAGGTTCAGTAAACTTACCGACATGCTTCCAGACTTATCAAGGACTAAACACACAATTCTTTGTCCAATCTGTAGCAATGAGAAGGTGGGTGTGGGTGGCTGGCTTGTCATAGGAGTGGTTTTCTTAAAGTCCTCAGATTCACTGATGACTTCCCATGTGCTTCGAAGGTTGCATCTTTGGTTTTGCAAGTTTGGGGCTTCTTTATTGTGGTTTTGTTCTGTACAGAATTCGACTACCTGAAATTGTCAGTAACATGATATAAATAACTGCAAACTATTTATTAAAATATCTAATAATTTAACGCCCCCATTTTCCCCCAATCTGTCTTGCTAACCTATAATATTGCAAAGCACTGCTGGAGAAAATCACAGTCATGATCCAGAGTCCTATCTCAAACCAACCTCACTAGACCTCCAGTACTCCTTAGCAATCCATTTATCTACTCTAGGCAGCTTGCTTCCTTCCTCAGATTTGCTGTTTTAAGCCATCACCACTCTTCAAGCCACCCTCTTCAGCATTCTTTTCCTGGTATTATCTTATCTTTCCATTCTTACACCACTACACTTGACTTCCTTATTTCTCACTCACTGACCAATACCCCACATTACAACCTTCAACATCCACCACCATTTCAGCTCTGTAAAATTCACTTGGATATCCCAGATTTCTCAAATTCCCAGTGCTCATAAACAACCTCAACACCTTTCTCTAACTCTGTTCCTCATCCTCCCATATTTGCTAGCTTTATGTCACCACTATGCATTCAGTTACCCAAATCAGGAAACTGGGAGTTTCCCTGCCTTCTTCCCCCTACAAAATAACCAAAAGTAATACATTTCACTTTATTTCCAGTTTATTACCTTTTCTTTCTTTTTAATGGAATCTCCATCATTCAAGCCCTCATGGCTCCTTCCTCAGACTACTGCAGTCTCCTATCTCACTTTTCCATCTTGCTTTCCCTCCAATTTGTCCACTCCCCACAGCTGCCTGTACAGCTCTATCCTCGTGTACAAAGACCCTTAATGTGATTAATGATTGCTCGCAAGCCAACTTCTCACTGCAAGCAGCAGTCTCTAAGGTTTGGGTTTTTGCTTTGTTTTCCATTCCCATTCTGGCTTTGCATTCCAAGTCTCTAGTTTCTCCCACTATAGCCAGACTTCTATATCACTGGGTCTTGGTACTTTATTAAGAAGTTCCTCCTCCATCTTCTGCATTGTAAACTCTACCTTCATGTTTCAGCCTAAAGGTTACTGCCCAAATGTTCTCTCATTTTCTATCCTTCCCCTGGAGAATTTCCACTCTGCCCTCTGTGACCTTGGAGTACAGTGCAGAAAGATCAGTAAGGCCCCTTTCACCTTGTAGTGTACATGTTGGGCTATACACACACCTATGGCAGAAACATCAGTAAGGCCCCTTTCACCTTGTAGTGTACATGTTGGGCTATACACACACCTATGGCAGAAACCTGACTCAAATTTTGCTTCCTCAAAATTTGGCCCAGTGTCTGACATGTAGTAAAATTTCAATGTAAGTTTGTTGATTTTTGAGCAATCTTAACCTCTTTTTTTTTTTTTTGAGTAACCTTACTTTTTTTAATCTACAAAATAGTGATAGTTACTATGCAAGAACTGCATGAAAACATATGCCATAGCATCAATACTAACACAGTCAATATTTGATGGTTCCTTCCCTTTTCTTTTTTGTTTATATACTTAGTATTTGGGGGACTAAAACCAGGAGGCACAGTATACAAAGGAGGAATAAGTAGTTCCTCCTCTTGGCAACTTTATAGTATTATCATTCAATTAATAATCTCAAAATCTGGAATTCTAGTAATTTAGAAAGTAATCATTAGTTGTAAAATACTTGTATTTCTCTTTATTTGCATTTTTCAGGTCCTCTGCTTTGGTAGTGTTGTCATATTATCAGTACGGCTACTTTTAGCAAGGTAACCTGAAAACATTTTGTGTAAGTCCCAGGCAGATTTTTCTAAAGCTGGTTGTGCACCAGATTTAATTCTGTAGCTAATTTAAAATGCAGTCAGTCTCCAACTTATGACGATATGACCTACAATTTTTTTTACTTTATGATGGTATGAAAGGGATGCACATTTAGCAGAAACCATACTTTGGTTTTTGGTATTTTCTGGCATTAGAAATTCTTGCAATGCTGGATAGTGACAGTGAGCCATGGTTTCCAGGCCACAACAAGGCCACAAAAAGGTAAACAACCAATACTCTAGTGCACTGTGTTGCTAAGCTATAATGTTCTATGGGTGCATGAGATTCATTTTCAACTCATGGTATTTTCAACGTGGGATAGTTTATTAGGACATAAACATATGATAAGTCAAGGGCCACTTGTACATTATCTGGGACCCCCTCTTGGAAGTCTGAATAGATCTGAAAATGGACTGCAAAACCAGATGGAAGGATGGGCCTTGTGAATCATGGTGCATCAACTTTAAAAATTCATGTCACATTGGTATTGATAGACTCTTGCAAGTTATTTCACCCTCCATTACAGAGGGAATACATAATTTTCTGTATAATACTGGGAAGTTCAGAAGGTTCCCACTAAAGTCAGTTAGCTGATACATTTAATCTCATTTGGATAATTAGTCAAAGTTTAATTTGTTTTAATGACAAACTGGTCATTTAAAAACACCATAAAAAATATTTTAAAGCTATTGAAATTATGAAAAAAAAATTCCCAAGGGTTTTAACAGTATGAAAATGATAGAAATTTTTCAGTTAAAAACAAAGGCAAATTTTATGCAGCCTGAGAAGAACTCTTGGGAAGCTTAAGGACTGCTGTTCTTGTCTTTGTTAACTAGTCCTAGTGTCCCTGGCAGCTCTCATCTAAGAATTTTTGTGCTTGCATGACTTGAAGGGGATTTGAAGAAATCCCATGCAGGTAAAGCCAGTAGAAGGGAGATGGCGAAGAAGAAAGAGCGTACATAGGACAGGATAAGGGGGGTCTTGGCTTTATCCCTGATTGTGCTTCCAGCTTGACGCTCGAGAATCAGCTGCGGACTTCCCTAAAGCTGGTAGTTTCCCTGAAATTTGATCTTCTCTTGAAGTACCTAAGTGAAAAACTTCACCAAATTCATTAACAGTCTGGGGGAGGAAATGAAAAAAGAGTAAGGAACTTACAGAATCAATACTTTGTGCAAACATTATGGAAGCCTTCTCAGTCTGTTGTGTTTCCGGTACGAATTCACATTCCTTTTCATACGTTCCTGTTAATTTGTCGATTCTGCATGCTTTGGTGATACAACTGCCTCCCTGGCACTTCTTTACCACGTTATCACCAATAATATCTGCTGAACATCTGAAAATACATTAAGGTTAGACGTTGAGGAACGTAGTCGTTTCAGTGGGTTTGACCCTGGACTCAGTTTCCACAGATTGCCTTGTGTATGATTTCTTCTAAACGAAGGAACAAGCACATGACCATAGTTGGTAAAACTTCTGAATTTTCACCAAAGTCATTTCTGTGGCCAGAAAGTAACTGAGGTCCCTCAAACAGTATCAGAATTTATTTCTAGGTAGCAGAAAAGCTAAATCTTGCTAATGACTCTTGTTAGCATTGGTGAGGATCATGGTTCTAGACTAGGCACCTTCTAATCTAGTCTCTTCATTCCTACAAAAGCAGGAGCTGCTCTCCTTTCTCCCAAAGATTTGCTGACATTTCCCATTTGCACATTTGTTTTTTTCCTAATTGCATTATTCCAGATAGTTTTTGCAGAGTAATTTTATATTCATGCATACTGTAAATGTTTTATATTATATGCTTATGAACTTTGTTGTTATAAATGGAATGCTTTCCCCCTCACACTTTATTTTTTAATTATCCTTCTGAGGATATCAACCATACATGAGGATGAAAGAATATTTAGAAAATCACATAAAGTATAAAGAAGAAAAGAAAACGCCATGTCTGACCACGTAATTAAACTATTGTTCACGCATTGAAGCGGTTTCTATGTATCAGCATATGACATTGCACACATAGCTTTGTTTTCTGCTTTTAAAAAGCAGCACGTTGGTGTTCTTAACATTATAACATATAACTTAATATTCTTGTAAAATGTGATTTTAATAATTTCATCTTTTGGTATTATGATATGAATTCAGCCTAACTTAGTTTCTCCTTTAATTTGTTGGTACTAAAAATAAAATATACAAAATTTTACATGAAGTTTTGACTGTATTTCCAAGTTTGTCATGTGACTGATTCCCAGAGTAAAATATCAAATACAAGAGTTTGAACATTTTAAAGCCTATTGTTACAGCTTATTCTCTCATTTCCTTAAAAGGGATTTTTAAACATGAAGTTGCTGGGTCAAGAACCAGGAAAAAAATTAGAACTTTGATTTGTGTCACCCAGTGGTTTTCCAGGAACGTTCTTCCAATTTATGTCTCTAACAGCTGTCATGAGAACACTCAAGCCAGTGACAGTCACTTGCTCGCTGACAGTTGCAGCTCATCTTTGTGCAGTTCACATCTCTGATTACTAGTAAGCATGGGCATTTTATATGTTTGTTGGTTGTTTATCTTTCTTCTTTTGTGAATTATCTATTCTTTGCTTTTGCCTATTTTTCTACCGGGGTTTCACTGATTTTCAAAAGTTCTTCATGTGTGACAATAGTAAGGTCCTAAAAGTTTGATTTTTTTTAATCTTTTTTCTAGTTTTAAGAACATCTTTTTATCTTTTAACTAATGTATTTATTTATTTAGAGACAAGGTCTCACCATGGATTGCAAATTAGCCTGAACTCACTATGTAGCCTGGGCTGACCTTGAACTCCAGTCCTTCTCATTCAGCCTCCCAAGTGCTGAGTCATGTGCCACCATGCCAGCAGCTTTTTTTAAAAAACATTTTTAGTTTATATTTGGCTCATGTGCAGTGAAAATTTTAATTTATATTGTTCTTTTTTGTTTGTTTCTTTGGTAGAACTGGGGTTTTAACTCAGGGCTTCATGCTTGCAAAGCAGATGGTCTTCTGCTTAAGTCATAGCTTCAGTCCATTTTAGTCTGGTTATTTTGGAGATGAGTCGTGCAAACTATTTGCCTGGGCTGACCTTGAACCATGATCCTCCTGAGCTCAGTCTCCTAAGTATAGGATTATAGGCATGAGCCACTGGTGCTCTGCACATTGTTCTTTTAGTTATGTCTTTTTCCTTTTTTTTGAGATGGATCTCACTATGTATCCCAGGCTGACTTTGAAGTCACCATTCTCTTGTCTCAGTCTCCTGAGTGGTAGGATTAGAGGCGTGTACCACTATGGCCATCTCTTTTACCAATTCTTATGAGTATAGAAAAATCTTTACTACATAGCAATTTGATATTTATTAGTAGTTATTAATTTGGAATATATTAGTAATTCTTAAATACATCCAAAGACTTTTATTGCACAGATTTTATATTTATTAAGATTTGATATTAATATTTCTTAATTTTGCTTTCATATTTAATGAATCTATTCAACTGGAGGAGGGTCTGTTAATTAATTAAAAAAGAAATCTTATGTTTCATGACAGAATTATAATTCAAACTATGTTAAATGGTAAATTATTATATATGAAAATGACTAACTGTCCATTTAGTTTTATAGTATATTTAAAATTTGGCAAGTAAAAGTACCCTGTATTACAATTCTTTTTCAGAAATGATCTTAGTTGAATGAGCTCTAGGACTATACTGTTTTGTTTTTTTCAGAGGGGGTCTTATTATGCCATTTAGCCCAGGTTGGCCTAAACTCAAGATCTTCCCATCTCAGCCTCCCAAATGCCTGGGTTTACAGGCATATACCACTATATTTAGCTTTTAAGATTTTTAAAATAAGATGAAAATGGTTGTTCTTTTGACCAGAGTTTCATAAAACTTACATATCAATTTTTATTGAATTTATGGCTTTAATGTATTGAAAGTTTCTCTACCTTAATTTTCTTTTAAGCCTTTTAGAATGACTACAGTTTTCTTCAAATGTCTTCTACCTTTTTTAGAGCTTTTTCTACTACTCTTCTAAATGGGGTATTCTTTTCTTTGGGTTTTTCTAAGTGGACTACATATTATTTGCATAAAAGCCACTTTCTCGCTTCCTTTCTGGTAGCCCTTTTTTGTACCTCCCTTTTTGTACTATTGCTTCAGCTATGACTTCCTAAGCGAATTTAGATAACTACAATCCCAGTGACCACTCTCGTCTCATTCCTGGGAATTCTTTAGAGTTTTGCTGTTGGTAATAAGTTGGCATTGATAGATATTCTGTATCATATTAAGGTAATAGCCTGTTCTGGGCAGTACTATCATTTTGGTGATTACTTCTAGGCCTTGAAATAATTAAAAAGTTTGAAAGATAAGGACCAATAAATATTATTGATATATTATAATACAATTTATTTTTAAGAGGACACACCAATCATATCAGTCTTGCTAATGGGGTACATAGTTATCTGTGGAAGGAAGAATATACTGATATTAAGAAGGAATATGTACTAATCTGCTTTTCTCTCAAGGGACGATATATTGTCTTACTATATGGAAGCGTAGAAAAGAGAAAGGGGAAAGGCAGATGTTGGGTTTGGAATGGTGCCCAGTGGCTGAGATTTGAAAAGTCAAGCCAACATATGATCATGTCAGGGAAGTGACCGTGGGCCATGTTCTGTGCAATGCAGAAAGTAGGAGCTGAAGGAAGCCAGCCAACTAAGCATGGCTATAGGAAGCATTGTGTTACTTATTGTCTGTTTATGTTGCTAGAGTTCCAACAATGAGCGAAGATATAATGGAAGTGCACTGGGCTGACAGAGATTGAATGGGAGAAGTAGAGACCAGTAATGTTCACATGCGGGAAATGAGAGGGTAAATGTGAGTTCTGTACCCAGTGCAGCTTTTCTTGGAAATGACTGTACAAAGTGTAGATGGTAAGTGAGACAAAGATGCATTCCTTTAAAGAGCCATCTACCCAACAGGACTGGAAACAGAAGTGGAGAGGGTGTTGTATCAACTTCCAGTCTTTAGAAATAGGTAATTGCTGCACTGAGGCATGAGGATGATGTTTGAGGTTTACCTGGGTTACAGAGAGAGTGCTAGGCCACCTGAGCTAAGTGGTAAGGCTGTGTATCAAAAAATCAAATAAATAAATAAATGATTGCTTTTTAACTCAGGAATAAATCAAGTTACTTTTGAAATATTGGAATACCATTTTTTTTTTTACTTTACTTGATGTGTATATCAATTACTTATCTAAAATTACATTTTGGGTTGCTGGAAGCAATACGAGGCCTCAGTATGTTTGCTAGCCCCTTAATTCTACCAACTGGACTTCATTATCCTTTTATTTAAAGTCTTTGCCTCTATTTTTTAGAGAGCTTTAACTACAATGTTTTTTCACTCCATCTGTCAGGTGTTAGCATCTGAATTATGCCAACTCTTTAACATAAACTGGTAGGTTCCCTATCACTCTATGTTTATACTAAAGCTGTCTATACACATGGAAGCTGTTGTTTGCAAGAATTTGCCCAGAAAAACTATGGCTGCCAACAGTACTTTCCAAGTGTGATTCAGTTTTGTTTACTATTGATACCACTGGTTTCAATTTGAACTCTGAGATGATTTTGTTTTGTTTTGCTTTTAACATTTAGACTGTCTTTTAAGGTAGTTCCTCAGTCTCTTCCAGGCCCATTTATAATGGATAATATTCTGCATCAAAGAGCCCCCAGTAGTCCTGCTTGGGTCATGGATTCTGTTGCAGGAAGATGGAGACACTGTATGTTACCTATACGATTTATTAGAGTTATATACTTTTTTTTAAGAGGGAAATGATTTATAGCTGCAAAGCAGAGAATTCAATTTGTTGAAACACTTGTAAAATAAACAAAAGTGGTAGTTTTGTGGAAATTTGAAAAAGAATGCACTAAGAAAGAATAACTTAGAGATGGAAAATAAGACAGAAGGCAAATTTTCTTAAAGTAATCAATTCAAAGAAAAATTGGTTTCACGTTAAAATTGTTTTGGATATGTGAAGCCTAAATGTACATACCTTACTGCTTTGGGTTTTCCATTGGATAAGTAGAATTTCTGGTCATTATTGTATTCATCAAACACTCCCCATCTTAGATGGGCCCACTCATGGACAAATGCCCTACCTGTGAGAAAATATTTTAAACACCAGAATACAGTAAGTATTTTAAAATAACCTTCTCATACATGGAGAAATTAATTCTTCTCAATGTTTATCCTATGTTGCTAGGTTTGAATGATCTATTACAACAAGTGTACCTTTCTGTAAAATACAAATACTTATTTTGGCTCATCAAATGTTAAGTAGGCATCTAGAAAGACGAGCCGGCTGCCCTGTCCTCACCCAGGGCTCCATCGAGTGGAGGACACTCACGATCAAATAACTAAAATGCCTGTGGCATGACAGTTAAGTCCAGTTCCTTAGCATGGCATTGAGGATGCCTGATGATTCAGGCCTGTTCCTCTTCACAGCTTTATTTCCTGATGTACTCCACCAACTTTCAAAACTCTACAATTGCAATAAATTTCTGAATTTTAAGGCTGTAGGCCACACAATGCTCTGTTCATCTCAGGTCCTTGGAATTTCCTTTTCTGTCTTTGCCCAATAACTCCAATCCTTCTTTCAAAATCCACCCAGATGTCTTCCCTGACACACTCAGACTATATCAGCCTCCTGCTGTGCACTTCCATTACATCCACTATGCTACCTTTGCTGCTTACTTGCTTTGATCCAAGTTAGACTCTTATCTCTGTGGAAACAGGCACTGTGGCTTCCTCACTGAACTATCTGGGTTTGTAGTGTCTAGAAATTAATAGGCTCTCAGTAAAATATTTATTAAACCTGGAAGAATCTTAGTGACTTATATACAAAACTTAGTTTTTCTGAACTGTAAAGTCAAAGGTTGCATTTGGAGGGTTGGGCGAGCAGAGACGTGCTAAGGAAGCCCTAATAACCCACACTACGGATTTGCACTGTACTCTGTAGGTGCTGGTAAGGTAAGGGAGGACTGTCGGGGAGCAGAAAGGAGACATTATAAAGGAATGGTTTCATATATGACCATGATAATTAGAGCAGGCTCAGGAATGAGATGGAGCAGTTTGGTAAACTAATTTGATACATATTTGTTGAACCACAGGCTGGGAATTTTCTGCTCCTGTTTTGGAGGTGAAATGGAGTGTTGCTGAACAACCAAGAGGTAGGTTTGACCCTCCCAGATCAATGCTGTAGTGTATTTGGGGCTCCATTTGCATGGAGGCAACAGGCCGCATTTGTTTGGTTGCTTATTTTCTCTACCTTGTCTGTTCAAGTAAAGAAAATCAAACTGATTCTGGAGGGTTCTAATCTTTTTGAGACATAAAGAAATCTAATGTAGTTATTTAATAACCAGTCACATTTGAGCATACTTAGAAAACACTTGCTACATGTGCTTTGTTGCTTGTTTGACATTCCCTCCAGTTTGCTCTATATGGCTCATATAAATTTGTTTTCTGAGACAAGGTCTTATTATATAGCCCAGGCTGGCCTTGAACTTGCAATGCTCTTGCTTCAGCCTTAGCTGAACTGCAAGAATATTCTGTTTGCTCTTCATAGAGTGGCACACAGATCAACAGTGTTAGCATCACCAGGAAACTTGATAAAAATGAAGACTGAGTCCCCCCAAGGCCTCCTGCATCGGGATAGGCGAAGATCAGTTTATAATTTGAATGCACGTAAAGCCTGAGCGCTGTATAACACCACCTGGTGGCTGCCACATGAATTGCAGGAAGGAACTTGAGCACTGTCTCCTCAGATCTACAGCAGCCTAACACTACACACAGTAATTACCTTACCTGGCACTATAATAATTTCCCAAAGTAAAATACAACATTTATACACATATGCAAACTAATAAGTAAGATTACGCCTGAGAAATGAACTATTCAGAATTCCTGTTTTAAGTGATGAAAAAACATGGTTTTTTTTTTATACTCGGTTTATACATAGTAATTCCTACGTGGGATCACTCATGAAGATGAGGAAATTGTTTCTCCACTTTGAAAACACAGTTACTATATTGTGAGTAACATAGTGGAATATTTTATCTGTACCCATACCTTGTGGTCCATATTCAAGCGACTTCTTTCCTGCTAAGAAGTCAGGAGTCAAATGAATCCTTTCACCCATTTCTCCACACATTCCTACTTGCTCAGTGTAGGGTTCGTCATTATCTGGAGGATTACGTTCAGCAACCAGAACATCAGCCTAAAATTTAAAAAAAACTTTATTATCACAGCATTTTTTGCAAAGAAATTGACCTCATTCATACTGAGTATTTAGAAATAATTTCATTTGATTCTAGAGTATTTTGATTTAAAAAAAGAAACTTAGATTACAGAAGACAATGAACTTTGAAAGAACTTGATGCTCTCACATTTTTGAAGGTCTCGAGTTTTGGCCTCACGTAGTCAGGTTTTGTTGTCCAGTTTTCAGGAATCAAAATGGCCACACTTTTGAAGTAAAATCTTTTCCCTGTTGCTTCAAACAGGTATGGAGATGCCTGAGTCACCATGTCCTGGAAAGAAAGAAGACATGTGTAAGGACTATGAGTGAATAACTGTATGTATACTTTACTTTTCAAAAGACTGGCTGGGAAGAGGAAATGTGGAAATACCTTTATTAATAAAGCAGCTAACCTTTCTGAGCATTTACCACCTCCTGGGGGCCACGGGTAACGGTGAGCAATGCGCCTCTAGACGCAGCTGGTAATTCTCTGTGATTCACCACGTCTTGTGGGATGTTAGGCACTTTCCAATCCTGAACTTACAAAATGGAGAATTCTAGTGCCTACCTGATAAGGTTGGAGTGAGGAATAAAGTAAAATGGAACATGTGGAGCAGTGGGAGCGATGCTTTCTTAGCACAAGTGCTCATTAAATGTCATGTGGTAATTTCATTGCATTTGATACCTTGAGCATCAACAAACATTTGAGAGAGAATCTGAGAATTAGAGAGTATATTCTCAAGGTTTTACAACAAAGAGCAGTGGAGGGAAGCTCGAAATGAATGTGACCTCAACACTGGCTGCATCTCAAAATAATTGGGGATTTAATATTAAACTAAGTTAAATTTAATACTAAGTGAATGTTATGGCAGCATGTATTTTTGTTGTAGTACTGAGAGTTAGATATTAAGAAATGACATCATTATGCATTTTCAAATTACACATAGCTTCATTTCTCCAAAATGAGAGAGCAGCAGTATCAAACGCTTCTGCAGACTCCCTCACTGCATCATGACAAGATAGGAGAGTCTTAAGCGATCGCTGTGGGAAGGACCACTGAGTGTTGACAGAGGAGAGAAGGGAAATCAAGCATTTTGAGGCAGGCAGAGGAGGCGCCTGCAAGGGAGTTGTAGAAGGACAGTTGGTGCACGCCACGCTGTGGGATGAGGAGTAGGAAGTGACCAGTGCCTTGGGCACGGTGGGTGAGTCAAGTTAGTGCAAGGGAGACAACAGCTCCCTGTGCACAGGCTCAAGAGAGCCAGGGGTGAAGACATGGAGAAGTGAGGCAAGGGTTTGTTTATTTTAACGGAGACTATTATAACATTTGTATATGAATGGAAAGGCTGATAATGCAAAAGAAATAAGGGATCATTGCAGGAGCAAAGTCTTGGCTGGAGCAGATCTGCACAAGGCTCTGGGCCTAGGGGAGACTTTAGGAGAACAGTTCACAGCATATGGGGAGGAGGTGCTTGGATATCGACCCAAGCTGAATCCTGCTCCTCCACTTCCCAAGGGGACAAACTTAGGGAATTTATTTTATCTTTCCAAGCCTTACTTCCCTCCTTTCAAATAGTGACAATAATGGCTGCCTTTCTAGTTTTTTTTTTAAGTAATCTTAATGATTTGCATTTCCCTCTTACAAAAACCCACACTTTAAAAATCACTAGGAGAGTTTCACCTTATATTCTTGTAAAAAATTTTAAAATAGAGTTAAATTCAGCAAAAATTTTCTAAGAAGAGTGTTATATTACAATTTGACTTGTGAGATGTGAATTTTCAGTGTCTCCCAGGAGAATGAACAGGTAATAGGAAATGCTCTTGTCTTCCATGTTTTAATAGAAACATGTGACATCTGTTTCAGATTCTCAGAAGATGACTTCATATCCAAGTAGATATTTAACTTTCCAGTGAGAGAAGGGTGGGAGTGAGAGCCTTATAGTGTGGGCCCAAACTCCTTAAGGATAGGAATAGTTTTTTCACAACTGGATTCCTGGTGCCTGACATGATGTAGATATTCTAAGTATTTTTGAATGAATGAACAAATGACTGACTGAATAAATTAGTGGCAAACTGTGGCAACCATGCCAAGACAGGCAGTGCTTGTTTGTGTGTGTGTGTGTGTGTGTGTGTGTGTGTGTGAGGGAGAGAGAGAGAGAGAGAAAGAGAAACAGAGAGAGAGAGAGAGACAGAGAGAGAGAGAGAGACAGAGATAGAGTCAGAAACAGAAACAAAGAGAAAGAACAGGATAACACTTCTCTTCTGTGAAGTGTGCACCCAGGGTTTCCCCAAGGAACATCTGCAGAAGCACTGATGCTGTGACTGGAACTGCTGCAGTGCCCTCTACCAGTCATGTAGGGGGAAATCTTGAGGACTGTACAGCTGAACCAAGTATTTTAAAAGCTTGATTTAGAGGCTCTGCCCCTACAAGGGCACCAGGGGAAGTCTCCCCTGGATCTTGGAAAGATTCCAAAGTTCAAGGTGAGTGAGGTTCCTCAACACTACAGATCTGGAAATGGGGAGGAACATACTGATGTCATTTCCAAGTTCAGAGGCCACCAAGACTCTTACTTACACAAGACTAACTCTGGATGTGCTAGGGCGAAATTCCAGGGTGGTCTTTTATAAGGTATTTTCATCTTATTTCTAACCCTTTGCTGTTTTCTAAGAGCTTCTCTTATCCCTTCACCTGACAACAGTTTGGACATCTCTCTCAACAAGCAGCTTCTTTGTGCCTTTCCTCCCTCCTTGGAAGAGGTTAACAGGGTGAGGTGCTGCCTCTCGGCAGCCCACCAGGAGAGGACCCCTTGCTTTGAGACTGATAAAAATGCAGGGTTCCTCCCACTGGAAGGGTCTGGGTTGTTACAGAGCTTACATCCTGAGTTCCTATGCAGCATCACAGGGAAAGGGGTTACAATTAGGGGAATAAAAAGAGCCTAACATGTGCCAGCAGTAACATCAGACAAAGGAATTACCCTCTGCACATCTCATGATATCTGCCAAAGACAGCTGAAGCTTCCCTAATGTAGAACAAAATAACTTTCAGTGAAATAGTCCACAATCAATAAATACATCATTTATTAAGTGCCAATGACGTATCTAACTTTGAGTTATGTGTGTTGATTTTATTCCATCCTTCATAGGAATTTAATGGCTGAAGGGTTATTATTTCCATTTTACAGATGAAGAAACAGACTCAGCCATAGAAAATAGCTTGCCAGTGTCATGCAGTGAAGTGGGAGAGCTGTCATTCTCTTTATCACTTCATTATGCTTGTTCAGATAATTACTATTGATCACTAACCACGAAAGCACAGAGAATTACCACTTTGAACTAACCTTTATTTGTTGAATGAGGGCTTCATCCTCTGACACATTGGGGTCAATTGCAATGATGATGCCTTCATAGCCGTTGTTGTTCAGCTGAATGAGAGAATCGCTCAGGACCCCTTCTAGAAGGTGAAGGATCAAGATGAAGACAGAAGTCTTCAATGACCCCATTGCTGTAAATCTCTCCCAATTTCTCTCTGAAAAATGTTGGTTAAGGAGGCACGGAGGTGCCTTTCTTTACCTGTGTGTGTATATATATACATCTTTGAAAATGTATTTTTTGAGTTCAAAAGGAGTATTGGGCTTTGCCAGATCCTGGAGTGAGGGTGGGGGAGTTCCACACCCAGTTCTCTAGAAAGACTCACCCTTGACAAGCAGCTTGGCCATTGAAAGATGTGTTTACTTACAAATATTTGCGCAGTGAGTGACATTGACCCACCTAACACCAACACCTCCATTCCTTGGCTGCCCAACAGAGGCTTCACTGCTTTGCATTTTCAATAAGTGCAAGCCACGAATCCAGTTTTCCCCCAGGGTGGTCTTTATTTTCATCCTCGTTGACTTTGACATAACTTCAGTGCTTCTCGATGTTCCCCTTAGAAAATCTACTTGCACCAAAAATAATTTAGATGGTATTGAATATTTTTTAGTGGAGAGAAAATATTTTCATCTCATTTCCAAAGCAAACTCCGTCAAGTTTCATTAGCACACCTCTGTTTTATCTACCAGCCAATCAAGTTTAAATTAATAACATTAACTTTGCTGAAATTAAATATCACCAGAACATCAATTATGGGCTGTCAGCTACTGCACAGATTTGTTTTAAGTTCACAAAAGCTCAGATGAAAGCCCAAATTGGCCCTCCACATTCAATTACTAGGGAATAGAAATACCTGAAGAAATGTTCTACATTCTTAGTCATAAAGGAAATACAAATCCAAATGACATTGAGATTCCACCTTACCCCAGTCAGAATGGCTAGCATCAAGAAAACAAATGACAAATGCTGGTGAACCTTTCACACTGTTGGTGGGAATGTAGATTAGTGTAGGCATGATGTAGATCAGTATAGACTTCTTCAAAAAGCTACATAGAGAATACCATGTGATCCTGCTTTACTACCCCTGGGCATATAACCAAAGGAATGTAAGTCAGGATGCAGTAGAAACACCTGCACACTCAAGTTTATTGTAGTAGTATTCACATCAGCCTAAATGCCTGTCAACTAATAAAATGGATAAAGAAAATGTGGTATTTATACACAGTGGAATAATATTCAGCCATAAAGAAGAATGAAATTATGTCATTTGCAGGAAAATGGATGGAACTAGAGGTCATCATGTTAGGCAAAATAAGTCAGGCTCAGGAAGACAAATATCACACGTTGTCTCTTATATGTGAAATCTAGACATATATGTATATATGTTACATGAATGTATAAGGGGGCCTGTTTGTGGGGGGGAAAGTGGGAGTGGGAAAAGAAAAGTTGATGAGGGGGTAAAATATGATTGAAGTACATTGTGGTGCATGAGAATAACCCAATGAAACACACTAAAATTGAAAGGGGGTGTAAAGGAGCTAAGAAAGCAATAGAGAGATGACCAAAGTGCATTATAAACATGTGTGGAAATAGCATGGTTACTGTGACATAGCATGTTCTATATGAAATTCAGCCATGCTGTTGCATGTGAGGTAATATGTTCTCTCTCCATTGTATTCCATTGTAAAAACATACAATGTACTTGCCATCTACTGCTGGTGAACATTTGATTTATTTCCAGTTTGGGGTATTATGAATAAAGTTGCCATGGCTGTAAGCATTGATTTCAGTGGGGTGTATTTCAAGAGTGGATTGTTGGGTAAGAGGTTATACGTATATCTAGTCACCACAACTCTCCTTTGACCAATACTTTCATCAGGATGTGTCTTTTGTGACTAGACCTGACTTGAGTTTCCTTCTATGTCCTTGTAGAATCCAGTTTGAGCAAGAATACTATCAGTTCAGGGAAATTCCCCATGCTTGACAGGTGACGTCTTTATCTTGGCACATTTCCTGTAAGAACCTCATTAAGTCAGTTTCTCTAGAAATCCCTTCTTCTTCATGTTTCCTATTAGTAATTTTCTATCCACTGACCCCACCCTGCTCCTTGGTAATAAGTCCCTACTTTCTCATTGGAGCGGGAGTTAAATTAAGTTCAATGTCTCTTTTCTAGCACAGGACTCCACTGTATTACCCCTTCCACCCCATCTTAACAATGTTTGGATGTCGCAAACACTTTCTAAAGTGCTTGTACCCGTTGTTCCACGTTTTGCCCAAACATTGTGCTTTCAGTATTTTTCATTTCATCCATCCTCTTAGTGGTAGAGTCATACTGCTCTGTGGTTTTGAATTGAATTTTTCCTGATGATTAATGTTGTTAAGCACCACATACTTCTTGGCTGTGTGGATATCTTCTTTTGTGAAATGCTTGTTCAAGTCTTTATGCCCAATTTTAAGTTGTGTTGTCTTTTTCTTAGTAATCTAGAAATTTATAGATTTTGGATATTAAGTCTTTTCCTGGGTTTACGTAATGCAAGTATCTCCTCCCAGTTTGTGACTTGTCTTAATAGTTAGTATTCTTGGATGAACAGAGGCTTTGTATTTTAGTGAATCCAATTTAATCTTTTATGTGCAGTGTTTTTGTGTCATATATAAGACAGTTTTCCCAAGATCTCGAAAATATTATGACAGATTATATCCTAGAAGCTTCATTGTTTTACCTTTACCACTTTCAGCATTGTGGTATATGATCTATCTTAAATTATTTTTTCTAATGGTTAGAGGTAAGATTCAAGGTTTTTGTTTTGTGTCATTTTTTCCTATTCTGGATAGCTGATAGTCCCAGATCATTTATTGAAAAGACCATAATTTTCCTCACTGAATTACAGTTGTGCTTTTGTTGTGAATGAAGTGACTGCAGATGCACAGGTGTGAGTCTGAATTCTCTGTGATTTCCTGTTCCATTGGTGCATGTGACGATCCATTCCTCAAGAGCATCTTAATTACTGCCACTGTGGAAGTCTTGATATCTGGTAGTATAAGCACTCCAGATCAATTTTTTAGATTATTTGGGTATTTTAGGTGCATTTTTTGGGGGGTACTGGGGTTTGAATTCAGGGCCTGCACTTTAAACCACTTCCCCAGTCCTTTTTTGTGTGTGATGATTTTTTCCAAGATAGTGTCTTGTGAACTATTTACCTGGGCTGGCTTCGAATCATGATCCTCCTGATCTCTGCCTCCTGAGTAGCTAGGATTACAGGTGTGAGCCACCAGTGCCTGGCTTTTCAATATAAAACTTAAAATCAGCTTATCAATTTCAATAAAAAGCCTGATGGGTTTGGTAGGATTGCACTGGATTTATAGATCAGTTTTGAGTATTTGAATATTGAATCTGTATCTAAGGCTTATCTTTTCACTAAGTTTTATTTAATTTGTCTTAACTATAATTTGTGATTTTGGGGGTAGAGGCCTTATGCATCTTTCACTAATTTATTTCTAGGTGTTTTGTTACAGTGGCTATTGTAAGTGATATTTTTATAAAATTTCATTTTCTTTTTGTTCATTGCTGATATATGAAAATGTAATAGATTTTTATGTATCGGCCTTAAATTCATTGATCTTGCTAAGATTGCTTATTTTTAGTACTTTGTAGATTGTTTTGTATATTATACATACATCGTCATGTTATCTGTGAATTGTAACTTGTTTACTCCTTTTCCAATCTTAAATGTTGCTTCCTTTTCTTACTGCACTAGCAAGACCTCCAGTGTGATACTGAATATAGGTGGAGAGAATGGTACTTTTTTCTTGTTCTCAATCTCAGAGAACATTCCTAAGTGTTCCATATTTTACAATTAAGTATTATCCAGAAATACTTTGTAAAGACCTATATCAGATTTTAAAAATAGCCCGTATTCTTAGTTTTCAAAGAATTCTTTTTAAAAATTATTGAATTACATTAAATAGTTCATTTTTTTAATGCTTTCTTCTTTTCTTTTTTTGTCAGTATTGGCATTGAACTAAGGGCCTTGCACTTGCTAGGCAAACTTTCTACAACTTGAAGCCCCAAATGTTTCTTATGTATCTATTAGGATGATTATATAATTTTTCTTTTTTACTCTGACAATATGGTGAGCTATGTAGATTTGTTTTTCACTAGGAAGGAGCCCAGGGCCTTGCCCATGCTAGGCAAGCACTTTACTGCTGAGCTACATCTTAGAATAAATTGTACTTGGTCATGATGTAACATCCTTTTCAATTTGTTAATATTTGAGGTAGGATTTTCACATTTATGTTCATGAGAAGGATTGGTCTGCACTTTTCCTTTTCTGCAATGTCCTTGCTAAGTGTTAATATCAAGAATATTCTGGGGGGTGGGGGAGAAATGACCCAAACAATATATGCACATGTGAATAAATGAACAACAACAAAAATCAAAGAATATTCTGGTCTCATATATTGAGTTGAGAAGTGTTTCTTCTTTTTCTATTTTCTGGAATAGTTTGTATAAGACTATTTTTAATTTTTAAAATTTCCTTTGGATCTGCTGTAGTTTCATCATACAAGTTTTGAAATGCCATATTTTAATTATTACTCAGTTCCAAATATTTTTCAATTTTCATCGTGAATTCTTTTTTAATTTATAGGTTAAATAGAAGCATATTGCTTAATTTCCAAACATTTGGGACTTCTCTAACTGATCCATTACTGATTTCTAATATAATTCCCCTGAAGTCAGAAAACATACTTGGGGAATTAAGTCCTTTGGAATTTGTTCACATTTGTATTGTGCAATAGATTTATGATCTATTTTGGCAAAATCCTGTATTGCATTTGAGAAATATATATTCTGCATTTGTTGAGTATAGTATTCTATACATACCAATTAGGCCAATGTAGTTAACCATATTATTCAAATTTTCTCTATTTTTAAATCAATTTCTTATCTGCTTGTTTTTTAGTTACAGAGAGAGAGATGTAAAAACACCCAATTATGACTGTGGATTTGTCTATTTTCCCTCCCTCCCT